CACCAGGGCTCTGAATTATTAGCACATAACTTTCTGAAACAATATCTGTACTGACTAGTACCCCAGACCTAGCCCCAGAATACAGGGCAGCTGGTACACTCAGCTACCAAAACCAGAAACAAGGCAGAAAAGGAATTACCAGAAGCACTGGAGCATGGTATTTCCAAAAACAATTTACTCAGACCATAAAATGATAACTTGTACCATTATTCTAACAATTTCACATGACACCAGTAAACTTAGAAGTGAGTTTAGAAAAAAAGGTAAGAACTTATGATCAATAGGTTGTAACCCACCACCATATTCCCTACCTAGCACGTAGCATACAGATTTTTTTTTGTACTGAGATTTTTTTGTTTGTTTAAGAAGACTGCTTAACCATCACCTTAAAGAATATGAAGCTCTCAGCTAACAACAACTCACTGTGCCCTTTCTCTTAAGGCCCTTGTGCCCTCTCTTGGATGCTTTTTCTTCCTAATACATCCTGTCTTAAAACTTCCACTCATATTTACTCTAAAATTCTTTTTTGCAGCAAAGACAAAAATTCATGGAGCAACTGCAACCTGATGTGTGGCATCAGTCTCACAGGTGTATACTTATCTCCAGACTCATTGATTTGTATACATCAAATATGTAGTTTTGTAGGTCGATCACACCTTAATAGAGTTGTCTAAGAAATAAAATTAAAACTAAAGAAGTCCTTAGACAGATGTCTCAGGACTTAAAACTAAAGAAGTCTCAGACAAATATCTGAAAATTCTTCAACGTACTTATTTTGAACACTGGATGCAATTCATTTTCTCTTAATGTGACATTTAAGACCTTTCAACATCTACCCTATTTACCTATCTCTCTCTCACTCCTAAGTCTGAATAGTTTATAAATATTCCCACAGTTTTTGTATCTCCTGTGGTTTTATTTGTAACCTTTCCTCTGCCAAGAAAAACCTACCATACCACGATGTCTGATGACATTCCATTTATTTTCCCAGAATCTACTCATTTGTTAACCTTCTTAGGGTTCATTAACCTCACTGAGGAGGGTCTCAGTAAGAGTAACAGATGAAAAAACTAGAGAGCCCTTACTATATGCTAGGTACTAAAATTCTGTCCCGGAACATTCTGGTGAAACAGTAGTTGTTTTCATTTGAAAGTTTAGAAACTAAAGTTCAAAGGGGTTGTGATTGCTCAAAATAATAGACACTGAAGAAAAGATGCCAAGCTCTGTAAAATACTTTAAGGTGGTTTACCTGAACCAAACATGAGGACTTAGACCCCATATGTCCCCAGGAAATTCTGAGAATTTGTGCCCACCATTGTTGAATAGTGTCTTGATTATGTGCAATTTTAGGGAGGCATACGTTATAAAAAAAAAACCCTATAAATCAATATTCTGGGGGTCCCAAAAAATGTACACACATTTTAAGTGATGTTAGGTTGTAATCAGAAGTGTCTGGATACTAATGGCAACCACTTTGAATATCCCTTGCAATTGCAGAAGTCAAATATTATTTGTAGTCATCTTACTATTACAATTTTAATATATTTTTTTCTTTCTTAAAATATATATACATTATTTTGGCCCCTTTGTATATGAGATTTTCATTGATTTGGTTCAGGAAGGAGGAATTAAAGATATCCTGACTGGTAATTTGCAGTTCCTATCTAAGGGATTTTGGAATTCAGTAGAGGAGATGCTTTGGTAAGATAAGGGGGTGGGAAAAACTCCTGGTTTGTTGCTTTGTAGACAAAGTCCTACATGTGGCCAACTTCAGAGATCACAGATGTTTTACAAGGTCTCTGGAGTCTGGGAGTTCCCAAGAAAAGTCTTTTCAGGACAATAACAAATTTCTTTCCTAATTTTTAAAATTTTCACTTATTTTTAGAGATGAGGTGTCGCTGTATTGCCCAGGCTGGTCTCAAACTCCTGGTCTCATGTGATCCTCCCACCTTGGCCTCCCAAAGTGCTGGGATTACAGGTGTGAGCCACTGCACCCAAACTAAAATACTTTGATTTTCTTCTTTATTTGTTAATGTGACGTTATGCCAGAGTCAGGTTGAAAAACAAACTTTAGTGTATAGGATAATAAGGAAATAAAACCCCTTCCAGTGAATCCTTATCAGGTGTGAGGCCCCCAGCTTCTTAGTTAGGAATTTGGACAAGAGAAAAAGGCCACAGTTTAGTCCTCTCAGATAACTGGTGGCCGAACTAAAGTTAAGCTCAGGATGACTTGATTCTAACCTTGCAATCTGTCCAGTACACCATATATGCCATATGACCGGCAATACATCATTCCTTTAACTAGGAATACACTTACCTTTTGGATTCCAATTATCTTTATCTTTCAGTACCCTGAGATTTCCTTGAAGGCAAGGATTGCCTTATTCATCTTTTTACCCAAATGATTACCAAAAAGAGTAAGAACTTATTATATGATTGAAAGAGAATTGTAGTTGTTGTTTATAGAATAACTCTAGTGCTGAAAGAATTCCATGCTAGATGTCTTAAAGTTAAACACAACTTATTTCCCCAAAAGCAAGAATTCCACGGGTCTACAACAGCCCTGTTCACTCAGACTCCAGGCAAAGCGCATGAGAAGAGGTAGCTACTTTAGCCTCCTGATTTTCAGAGAAGATACCCTCAGTCTGAAATGGATGAACCTTTTTTTTTTTTTTTTTTTTGAGTTGGAGTCTCACTCTGTCACCCAGACTGGAGTGCAGTGGCCGCTCCCGGCCACCGCAGCCTCGGCCTGCTGGGCAGCGATCCTTCCGCCTCAGCCTTCCGAGTAGCCGGAATTACAGGCATGCACCACCACACCCAGCTGATTTTTTGATTTATTGTAGAGATGAGATCTCGCTGCCCAGGCGGGTCTCGAACCCGCGGGCTCAGGCAATTCACTCACCTCAGCCTCCCAAAGGCGCGGGATTACAGGCTGAGCCACCGAGCCCGGCTGGATGAACCTTTTGAAGACAGTTCTAAGTCATCAGAGATGTGGACTAGGGTGGAGGAGTTCTTAGTACATCTGCATCCTGCTTTCTGACAAGAAAACCACATGGCCTTGGTGAATAAGTGCACGTGTATTTTTCAGACTGCTTCAGAATATTTATCCTGTAAATAGCTGGCCAAGTGCCCTCATTCATGAAGTTTCTAAACTAGGGGTAGGAAATAAAGAGGTAGGAAATACAATGACTTGGAAAACAATAGAGCAAAGGGATAGCAAGCGTTGGGGTTGTGAGTGAAGTATAAGAACTGAATGAGGTTCAAAGGAAAAGCAAACAGGCCGACGTGGTGAGCAAGGGGGTAACCAGTGGGAACCGAAGCCAAAGTGCTAGCCAAAGCCAGGTAATTCAAAGCCAAGTTCAATGGCCCATGTTGAAGTTTGTGGGTATTATGAATGACAGTAATTCAGGGGTTTTCACCGGGGGTGAACACAATCTTGAAAATCTTTATTTTTTAAGACCTTTACAAATAAAAATTTAGTTGTGAACAGAAAGTCATGGAGTAGGATCCCAGGGAGGAAGGCCGGTTAGGAGGCTCTTCAAATAATCCAGGAATAGTGGCACAGATGGTTACTTGTAAAAGCAGTGAGAAGCTGTATTTGGAATGTACTGGGAAGATCTAACAAGATTTGCTATGTAATAGAGGTATAAGAACAGATAGAGTCAAGGACAACTGGATGGCTTTTAGCTTGAGCAACTGGGTCTATAGATGCACTATTTAGTGAGGAGGAAATATGGAAAGAAACCATAAATCCGTGTGAGAAGTCAAGAATTCTATTATATAAAAGTACAGATGAAATTATGTGATCTAAAATTATTTCAAAATAATCTGGACAGAAGTACATATGAAATAATATTGATCATTGATAATAGTTGCAATTGGATATATATACACACACACACACACACACACACACATATATATGCAGGCTTATTATACAATTCTTTTACATGTTTTAACTTTTTAATAAGAAAATGCTAAAAAGAATAGTTACAGACATTAAGCGTGAGAGGCCCATCACACTTCATGTGAAGACACCATATAACTAGCAGTGGTCCAGCAAAGAAATCGGGGCTAAAGAAATGTGGGAGTTTTATGGTGAATTTGAAGCCATGAGACAGGATAAGAATACCTATGGCGTGACTAAAAAGAGAAAATAGGTCCAGCACGGAGCAACTGAACACCCCAACATTTAAAGGTGAAGAAGAATCAAGAAAATTCTATTTGCCAGGATTTTTCCATTCATATCAAAAGTCACTGATAACTATGTAGCTTTAAACCAGCACTTTCACTTCTAGGCAAGTGTCTTAGGAAACTAATAGGACCACTTTACGCAGACTATGTAAAAGATTTGTCACAATGATTCAGAAAAAAAAAAAAAAGAGGCAGTGGTGGCATGGTGAAACAGCCCCAAATTTGGACAATAATGGGCTAGCTGGATACATTACAGGGCATTCAATGGAGTGCTGTGCAGCAACAAAAAAGGTTGTAGGCATATTTTTTGACCTGTAAAGATATTCACAATTAAGTGAAAAAAGTTGACTGAATGAGGCATTATAGTTTGTTTTATGCATTAATGCTACACTAAATATTTTGTACTATTCTAAACACTGATTACCTAAAATAGTAAATGTTATTTTCTTTTGTGTTAAGACTATGAACTTTCCTACCACTACATTTGCCTGTATTTTGTAATGTTTCTCAATAGACAGAAAACCATACAAGTTTAAACTTTTTAGTAAAGCTCATTCAGGAATATGAAACAAATAGGACGAAAGGGAACCTGATTCAATCAAGTCAAAATTGTATTGACACAATAAAATCTGACTGAAACTATTATAAATTGTTTTAAAATAAAGTAATAGAACACACATTATTTTAATTGCATATTAAATATTTTTTATTAAAGTTAACAAATAGAACAAAGTCACATACATCTGATCCACTGCTTAGATAAAATTTCCAATTACTTTCAAAAATTACTACACACGGTACCTCACATACCAAATTCCATACACCACAATCCAGTCATGAGATAGGCTGTATCCCAAAATTTGGTATAATAAATCCAGATATAATATACATTATACACATTGACTTTAAATAATCTAAATATAAAGGCCATTTTAAAAAGTCAAAGCAATTTATTTCCCTCTAATGAAAGTTACAATACATATGACATACCAGCACCCAATCAATGGATAATATCAAAGAAGACTTTTTGTTAATACTACTTATACTGGCATGCAAATTCACACAAAAATACTTTCTTTAAAAAATGCTATATTCCAGATAAAAAATTAAATGTGGGCTACTTTTAAAATTGCTAGGTTTATTTTTAATCAAACCAATTCAATCTAAAATTTTTAGACTATTAAATCTCATTCAATCTCCCCAAATTTAGCTAAAAACATCACTGACAAAGTTTTTTTAATGCATTTGTCCTTAGCCTTAAAAAAATTTCTTTTTACATTTCATATTTAAAAGAAACATTTTAGCCTTCAAGTAAAAGGACGTACTTTTTACAAAATCAGTTGGAACAAGTCTACCCTTTTTTCTTTCAATGCTTTTATTAGATGAAAAAATACTGTTTTTTTAATTTGACTTCAGAAAATACTGTCTAGATGATCAATACTGTAAAAGCTTCTAAATGTACTTTATTAGAATCTCAGTCAAAATTCTAGATTTCTGTATTGTTTTATGCAAACACTTCTTTAAATTTTAATTATTTCATCTTGGTTATAAAAATCATTAAAATACTACATTACTCAGATAAGGTTACCTTTAGGCCATTCTGTTTTTAATTTTAAAAGTTAAAATTGTTTTCTTATATCTAATAATACTTTTTAAGCACATATTTTAAGAGAAAAATAAAATGTAGCTTAATATTTTATCATTACCATTTGTTGCAGTGAGTCTGTCGGATCAGAGGCGAGTTTTAAATCAGATATTGGTTTTCCTCCTGTAATTCACACTTGTCTATTGAATCAATTACCCAACCTTCTGTGAGGATTTTAAACTTTCTCTTAAAAGTCCTTCTAAAAGCTTTAAAATCTGCAATGCGACTATGATCCTCCCCGATGATTACATGAGATACTCCTTCAGCCAAACAAGACACTACTTTTGCACCATGAAATCGAAGCTCCAAGGCATGCATAGCTAATCTTGTTCCCTCAATTTTGGTACTCAAGTCATTAATAACAGTATACAGGTCCACATAAATGGTGTGGCATCGAAACACACTGAGAGGAGAGTGATCCCAGGAATACCGATATTCTAAATCGGCAATCACAGAAGCCATTTCCTCAGGAACCTGTTCATTAGAATTTTTAATGCCAGAGAATACTTCCTTCAGTTGGTTCAAATCCGTATCAACAAAATAACTATCACCGTAGCAATCATATTCACGGGCAAAATGCTCTTTTGTTGATGGACACATATGAATCATAAAGCGAGGCTGCCACGGCACACAGCTTTTGGTCTTAAAACACTCTAAAAGCCAGATGGGCTTGACAACATCATGCTTGCCTGAAGCAATTATGTTTCTCACTCGAATGTTCTCAGACCCTGCAATTACACAGTATGTGTCTGGGCCTGGATTCTGGACTATACAGCCACCCAGTTCTGCAATTCTGCTCTCCAGGTCAGGCTTCGAATGGCTGTTTGTTCCACTCATCACACAAAACTCCACGTCTTCAAATACATTGGAAACTTTGCTTACATTAGTAAGGTTGGGTGCTTTTAAGTGTTCAATGATTCCAATAACCCTTTTCACCTTGGGGGCAGCTCTTCGCCTTTTTCCTTGTGGCTGCTCGTCGTCGCCCAAGTAGAGGTGCTTGGACACAAGCTTTCCAGATGCTTTTCCCCGAAGTTGCTCTAAGTCATCCAGAGTCATGCACTCATGCCACTCTTTGTCATCTCTTATCTTTTCAATTCGTGGAAAACGCAGTGTGCAGCCAGTTTTATACATATCACTGGGGACAATCTCTGCTGCCTTAACCTGAACAATGACAGAATTACAGGGTTCGATGTACACTTCTGGCTTCTCTGTTCCACATAAAATGCTACTCGGTGGAGCTCTTTTATGAAAAGCCTTCCAATGTTTGGCCAATTTCAAACCCAGGTCATACAGTTCTTTCATGGTGTAACCAGAGCCCACACGAGTGAGAGTATGAAACACAGATGGCTTTTCACCAGGAGGGGGCTTCTCTGCTACTGCACACAAAAAATGAGACATCATCCCACCCCGTGAACCTTTACCCCAGTAACCTCCAACAATTAAGATGTCCAATTCATCCATCAGTCCGTTGACATACTCTGGTTTAATTTTTAACCATCCTTCACCTCTTTTGTCTGGTTTGTAAATGGACAGAGGATGTTTCACCATGATTCCCTCTTCTCTTTTATCGATTGCTTCATTCAGTGCATCAATTACTTCGTTCTTAGTATGACCTAGTTTTTTCTGCACCATTTCTATTCTACCTGGTATGGGCATAAAAGTACTACTAAGAATCTCATACCTCTTTTTCAGGGTCTCATGTCCTAGTTTTTTATTATTAACCATCAATACATCAAAAACACAGTAACAGGTTTGAAGATCAGAATCTTCCACCATTCTCTTAATATCAAACTTATTCCCCTTTTGCATAAACGTTTGTGTATCTGGGTTGTAGGCCATCATCTCACCGTCAAGGATACAGCTTTGTATATCTATGTTGAATGTGTTATGAATGAATGGGGTAAGAGAGCCTTCGTCTGGAAAAGCACCAAACTGATCAGTATAGTTATATCCATTTCGGGAGAAGTATTTATACACATCCCCATCTTTGTGCATTTGCATGCGCTCGCCATCGAGCTTAGTTTCTATGTAGAAACTCTGGTGTTTCATATCCTTCTCAATGCGCTCAATATCTGCAATAGCAGCTAGCATTGGCTTAAAGGCAGAAAATAAAGTGATGGAAATATCACTGAGTCCTACAGAAGGATCATGCAATTGTCTACACACTTTTTCCAGATCGGTGGTAACATTATGCAACTCAGTAGCATCACTATGAAAAACAGAAAAGATAGTTTGCTGACTAACACCAAGTTTTAAATCCTTTACAATCATTCGTATAAGCCACTTTTGTTCAAGTGCGGAACTCTGAGTTATAAGTTGAAGAAGGCTCTTCTTTACTTGGTCTTTTCTTTTAGCAGAATTACTGCTAGCAACTGAATCTAGAAGGTCATTTACTTGCTGTATGGTTAAGCTTCCTTTCTGCAAACATCTTGGCTTCAACACAAAGTATGCGATGATCGCAAAATCTCCAGCATCCCCACGAGCTCCAGTGGGTGTCCTATAATTTAAAAGTTTAAGAGCATCTTTTCCTTCTTTAGGTAAATTAAGCAATTCGATATAAAGCTTAGCAAGCATAGTTTCTTTGATGCCATAGGCCATTCTCTCTCTTTCTAGCTGAGGAAGAATTAGTCTCATTGCTGGATAAAAAGAGTCTGTGACATCTTTTTGGTTCTTATGAAGGGCATCATGGAATCGTCTCCAAGAATCTAAAAATTCTCTGAAGTATCTGATTTTTTCTGCACGTCCTTTACCTTTTTGTATTCGTTCTAAAGTTGAACATAAATCTGCAAAAGGAACATGAGATGCAACAGTTTCTGGAGTCTGTGAGGCAGCCATAGAAGCAATGGTGAGTCCTCTGGTTTAACTAACAAAGCAAAAAGAGAATAACTTTAAGTAAAAGATAAAATTCAACTAGATATTTAAAGACCTTACAGAGATTATTTGGATCATATTACATGTCTATTAATATATGCTAAGTAAAAACAGACCAATACCATAAAAGATGTATTTTTCTAGCCTCTGCATTTCCTATTTTACTTCAACCCTAATCAGAATTTTCTCTCAAAAAGTAATATCAGGCCCATTTCCTATAATACTAAAAAAAAAAATTTTAATTATTTTTCTCCTTAAATTTCAATTCTTATTGAATTAATTATGCTATCACTTAATTATTTAGCATGTAACACAAAAGAGTATTGCTAATAATTATTACAGAAAAACAAGTCAGGCTCAATCTACTTCACTTCTGAGCTTCTGAAATAAGGTCTTTTTCTCTCTGATAGACTACCCACCACAGAGCACCAGAAACAAACTTCTTAAACAGATGTTTTTAACAAATCACTTGTTCACTGAATTGAAACTTGACTTCCTCCAAAGTCTGATATCCTAATCATAGAGTGTTACCATGACCCAAACAAAACAAAACAGGTATCCTCTTCTTCCAGTCAAACAAAGTTTATATTTATGTTTACCTTTACCTCTTCAATGCTAGCTATGCCACATCATACCATCATTCAAACCCAACTCCAAATGCACTCCCCATAAAATTCTCACTCTACCCACCTGTTTTAAAAATATATTGGTATACTTCTTTGTATTCATATTCCCTTGCCAGTCACTCCCCAAGTGTTCAGTGACTGCATATGAACTTGGCACTGTGCTATGGACAAAAACAGTATGTTTCTGTTTTAAAATAACATATATTATGTAAAGAAAAAGGGATGTAATGAAAATGAATTATAATAAAATGCTAAGTGCTCTAAAGCACCTTCTAAAGTTAGAGAAGAAATAATGGGCACCTTGCTCATCTAGGATCTAGAATATTGACTAAAATGTTTACCACAATTGTGAAATCTCTTTAAAGTTTTAAATATTCATTCAAGTTCCATTGGAATATCTATCAGAGTAATTTTAATATGGTTTAAACTATGTAACATTAAAATAAAGTAAGTTTTCCAAAAAGACTTCTGGTAAAACACATGCTTCAGGAATAGAAACCATGTTTTATCTTGTGGTTTCAGACTCCTGCTGGAACACCACCATGTAGCCCAAGCAGTAGAGTCACAGAAGCTTCACCGGCAGTGGAGAGGTCTACTACAGAACAGAGACCATGAGATGCCCTACCTCAGCAAACTCAAGACACACACACACACATGGCTACATGACTTAGTTTCCGGTAAAATAAATCAAATGGCCAATTACGATACCACATTTACTAAATTGTTAGTCCCCAGAGGCCAGAAATTGTGTTGTGATTTGTTCCACTAGTGGCTGACATGTAGTAGGTGTGCTTGCTGAATGAATTACAGAACAATTACTGAACAACTAGATTTGGCTCCTGGAAAAGAACACTAGGGAAAGTCAGGGGCTATTATACACACACACACACACACACACTCTCTTTCTCTCTCTCTCTGTCTCTCACTCACATAGTGGGTGGGATCCAGGTTGGTTAAAAACATGTGGCAGCTGACTATACTGAAACTGGTTCAAAACAGCGATTTAGTGACCTACAGATTAAAAAAAAAAAGATATGCATTTCTCAGTCTAATATCTGACAAAGAAAACTCAGCTTCTGCTGGTTGGGTTAGATCAAGGGACTAAACCTAGAAGAGACACTTTCCTGAGACATTTTTCTTTGAATATAGTAACTGTTTCCTCTTCCTGTACCAAATTTGCATAACTGACTGCACCACCTGGTTATGTATGTTTACTGTCCTACCTCTCCTGGTTATGTATGTTTACTGCTCCCTTAAGCGGGTACACTATAGGACATAATGCTGTATTTAAAACTTACATACAATCTATGTAAAATGAAGTAGGTTACGAAACATTTCTTTGAATGTTCATGTATTGGTATATAGTTTCTACAGGCCTATCTGTAAATCTATATTGTCTCAGTTTCCCTCAACAAATTCCAGGCAAAGACTCAAATTACTTTACAGTGATAAAATTTAGGAAATAGTGTGGTTATATAGGTATCCCAGCATAGCTAAATAGATAAGAAGGATACCAGAATTTCTATCAAATAAATAGATGTAAAATTTTTGCTCATTACAATTGCATAAAAAGTCAAAGATTACGGCTTCCATTGCTTTTTATATGCTGTCTAATTTTATTCTTTGGATTCGGAGGATTTTATCCAATGCTTTTCAAATTGCACTAACACACACACACACACACACACACACACAAAGGTTTTTGATTAGTGCTCAGGTTCTGGAATCAAATCATTTGAGTTCAAATGTGGACTCTAACATTTAATAGCTGTGTGATACTGAACAATTTCTTAACTTACTCTAAGCTTCTGTTTCCTTAAATATAAAATCGAGTTAAAAACTATGTAGCGATTAGGATGATGATGATACCAGATACTCTACAAAACATGCTTAACACAGTAGTAAGTCCTTGATCATTTTAATGCTATAATTTTAGAACTATCATCCAAACAACATTTAAAATACAAATATTGCAAAAGCCTAAGCAGATAAGAAGGGAGAAAGGAGGAAGTATGCTGTACTCTTCACAGTGATAAGCAAAGCTTTCAAGAGAACGAATGCAAGCAATCAGTGCACAATAATCATCCATTCAGCTGCTGCCTATAAGTATTGTCCTGAAGTGACACAACAAGACAAACCAGTAGGTCTTACTCAGTGAATGTGGAGGACGGTTAAGAGCCATTTTCTTGCAGAAGGAAAGAGAAAGTGCCTAGAACAATTGAAGTTTCCTTCAAGCAACCCTAAACAATATGTGCACCCCTAGGAGACAGGGGTTAACCCTTGCCTGTCTTCCACAGTACTTAGTGACAATTCGGGAGACTCAGCGGGAAGAAATCAGCGCTACAAAAGGCCAGAAAGGGCCGGGCGCGGTGGCTCACGCCTATAATCCCAGCACTTTGGGAGGCCAAGGTGGGAGGACTGCCTGAGCCCACCGGTTCGAGACTAGCCTGGCCAACTTGGCGAGCCCACATCCCTACAATAAATCAAAAAACGTAGCCGGGCACAGTGGCACAGGCCTGTAGTTTCCAGCTACTTGGAGGGCTGAAGTGGAAGAATCGCCGGAGCCCAGTAGGTTGAGGCTGCGGTGGCCGTGAGCGTGCCACTGCCCTCCAGCCTGGGCCACAGAGTGAGACTCCAACTCTAAATAAATAAAATAAAATAAATAAAAGGTCAGAAAGGCTCTGGGATTCCCAAAGTGAATGAGAGACAAAATGTAAGAAGAGAACGACGCAAAGCGATGCCCTCCCAGCCTGCAGTCGCCCCCGCTCCAAATCCCTCTGTCCGCTCCGGGAAAATCCCGAGGGGTCTGCAGCCTCCCCCGGCCCCCACCGATTCCCAGGGAGTACCTGGCCTCGGGTCACCCCGCTCCCTCTCCGAGC